CACTTCCATAAGAATTTGAGTTACAGTACAGGCTCTACAGGCTCATTTAATTATCTCAAGCACTGATTTATAGTTCTTAAAAAGTACTGTATGTGCATAACATGGAATATAGCCCTTGCTTTAGTCAAGTAACTTCATATGCCTGTAAAGGTTAGCCACCTCAGGAAGGTTAGATGACAGTAACCTTAGAGAGATGCTACAGACCTGACCCTCTATATATGGGCTGGTGGCCAGTCTTATTGAAAACACACACACATCATTGCAGTCATCACTTACTGGGTCCATACATAGGTTTACATTTATTTCCAGGAAACTTACCCTAAACCTAACCAAAGTTGACACTTGCTCTAACCCCACACCATGTCATTTTCATAAAAATTTGACAAATTAGTCGTGGGGCCCAGTCTCCGGTCCCCACAGTGTGCTCCCAGTGTTTCAGCCCTACAAGTATATGTAAGCAAGGCCACACACACACACACACACACACATACACAAGTCATTCAAATTACCTGAGTGCCACTGAGGCTCAGACTGAACACACAAATACTATTGAATCAAAGCAAATTAACTTAAATTAACTTATTACTGAATTACCCTTATAGAACAGGTTGGTCAAGTTTCACATCAATATATTTGTTATTTGTTATACAAAACAAAACATCTTGTCATAGTCAAATCAAAACTTCAGAATGTACATAAAAAGAACAAAATTTTTCTAAAGTTGTATATATTTCTTATTTTGCATGTATGTTATAGTTTGAATATATATTAATAAACATTTGCTATTGCCAGCAGACCCCAGAGGACTCCTCCCCAGCTGACACCCCCAGTGAGACTCCCACACCAAGCAGGACACCCAGCCTCACCAGACGTTTCAGCAGCCCAGAGGGCCCCACCAATGGAACCTGGACGGCCAGCATCAATACTCACCGCACCTCCACCACCACCTCCAGCTCCAACTGCTCAGTACCTTCCCCTGTCTCCTTTCCCAGTGGTACAAGATGCCAATCACCTAGGATCAGCCAGAATATCCCATTTTCCAATGTTACTGCCACTACAACATCAAGTCCCTCCCATGCATCTACAGCCACACGTCCATACACTCCTCCATGGAATTCACGGTGTCAGTCCCCAGTGGTGAGCCAGAATTCCCG